GTAAAAAACCTTATCTACCGCGTCGATTGGCTCACCCGCAAGCATAGGGTGTGGGTTTCATCCCACCCAGTCTTTTAGCGGTAATTTACACTTTGCAGGTGTAAAACGCATATCAAACCGTGTTACAGAGTTATTTATCTAAAATCGCTTGTATTTGGGAAAGATCTGATCCAAGGAGAGCAATGTCGTCTGTATGCTCAATGTCCATGAGGGAACGTCCCGGGAGCAGTTCAACTCTCGAGTTTTCAGAGGCAGGCATAGAAATTTCAAGCAGCACATCAATAACAAAGCTAAAGTGGAAAGGAAAAGAAGGACGACCTTGTCGTACACCACTGGACGCGGTGAACTCAGGCGAGAGCTTCCGTATACTCGTACGCGCCCACATGAGTTCGCATACACTGCCCCCATAAGAGAGAGAAATTTGGATAGGACACCTTTCGCCACCAGGCACTGCCAAAGTTGCTGACGATCGACAGAATCAAAAGCGGTTTTCAATAAAAACTGCGAGTGTGGGAAGTCCGAAGGATTGGCGCTGTTTAAGCAGTTGCCTCAAGGTAAAGATGTGGTCGATGCATCCTCGAACTGGACGAAACCCAGCTTGTTTCTCACTTACCTGTCTTTCCGGATTATCCATCAGTGCACAAAATAATGCCAGAAGGCATCTTGAATGCGGTGGACACTAGGCTGATACCATGATGGTCTCCACATAACGTTCTTGCTCCCTTTTTGAAAACTGGGATGACGGTCGAGGAGCTCCATTCGGCTGTTATTCTTTTTTGCTCCAAATCCTTTGCAGTGTTATCGTGAGACTGCTCACCAGGACTTCGCCACCTTCTTTGAAGCTAGTGAGGTGCAGACCATACGGGCCGGGTGCCTTTTTGATCTTCAAGATTGGTATCCCATACTGGATTTCGGTTGTTGCTGGCAGGTTGGTGTCACTGTTCTGTTCGAACCCGCTTGGTTGTTTCAGCGGTTGTGTTGAAGGAGACTAGCTGAACTGTTCTTTGAAGTGCTCAGTCCACCGCTCAAGATGACGATTGAGTAAGTGAATCGCTGTTCTGTCCTTTTCGCATATTGTCTCATTGTCACCTGCCTTTTGATCGAATCAGTTGAAACAGAGTGGGGCTTTTGCCTGCAGCGAACACCTCCATTTCCTGGGCCTTCGAAATCCACCAACGTTCTCTGTCATTCTTCAAGCTCCCGATTATCTGGTGTTTTATGGATCTGCGTGCGCCATCCCAATCCTTAGTTGTTGATATGACCTGTCTGGCAGCAATAAGATCTGCTGTTCTCGGAGGTATCCAGTGTTCATTGACTCGAGTGGACAAACCATTCTAAAAGCCTAGCGCATTGCTTCTTTAACTCGCCTCCATTCAACCCCCAAGCAATCTTTGTCGTCCGCATTACTATGCGCGTGCAGCAGCTTCCTAGTCAGATTAGCTCGCTGCTCTTCAGCTACTGAAACTGGTCGAAGTTGATGAACGGAACTACTCTCTTTCGGCACGCGTAGTACTGGCGGCAAGAGAAGTGCTTAACGGGCCCGCCCGATGGCGTGGTCAGAGTCAGTTGCGTGGCCCCAGAGGAACGCCAAATCCTTAACTCAGGCTCTCCATCGGTAACTGATAGCCATATGGTCCGATTTAGTCCACGACTGTCTTGTGATAGGTAGCCTCCAAGTAACTCGGTGTGAGCGTTTGTGTTGGAGGTTCGTACTGGCTAGGAACTGGCAGTAATCTGCACACAACTGAAGAAGCTGCCTCCAATTATCCGTATGCTCAGCACTGACTTCAACTCTACCACCTAATTGTGCATCTTCCGGACTTAGTCGTCCAAACTGGACATTCATATCACCCGTCGGGAATATTGTATCCGTCCTTTTTGCTGACTGAGACAGTGGGGACGTATGCTGATACCACCAACACCTTTTACCACATCGAACTGCACTAATCTTTATAGAGTCAGTGCAAACACGACTGGTTACTGAGACCTGGTCCAGTATGGCACTTTCAGCCTTGGGGTTGAGTGCAAGTAGCGCACCCTAGATACCACGAGCCACTGCGTCAGGATCATCGGATGCCCGAAGGGTGAAATGTGAAATATCTGAGCTCGTCCTAAACGGCTTGAGGAGCACGACCGAGGTGTGTGCGTACACACACATCGATGGAGAGGGGCAACAGGGCTTCATCAAGGGATGCGTGTTGTCCAATTCGGCATAGAGTATGGCCATTAAAGACTGCAACATGGATCAAACCTTTTGTGGTTAGTAAGTGATTGTTTTTTATTTTTCTGGGCGGAGGTTTAGACACGGAACAGTGGCTAGGGGGTTGGCAGACGGATTGACTCGCCTAGTACGAGGAGCACGACCGAGGTGTGTGCGTACACACACATCGATGGAGAGGGGCAACAGGGCTTCATCAAGGGATGCGTGTTGTCCAATTCGGCATAGAGTATGGCCATTAAAGACTGCAACATGGATCAAACCTTTTGTGGTTAGTAAGTGATTGTTTTTTATTTTTCTGGGCGGAGGTTTAGACACGGAACAGTGGCTAGGGGGTTGGCAGACGGATTGACTCCATTGCCTAGTACGATGGGTGGGGAGGGAGTGTGGAAGAACACCGGTGGGCGAAGAGCTGTAATAGCAAATGATACTCTCCGGTTGCACAGGCTGAAGAAGGGGGCCTAGTTGAGGTACCTCACCTTGAGCCTTTCGCTCAAAAGTCTGATCCACAAGGCAGTGGGAGGATGTAAGGTTTTGTTTTGGGACCATGCCCGGAGCCCATGACTCAATGGTCTAACCAGCTAGGCTGTGGGGGGTTGGCCCGACCCGAGAACGCAGGGAGTAAAACATCACTGTTCCACTCGTGATACGGCTGCACACAGCAGGTGCCTTTCAAAAGTATTTCGACCGCATTGAATAATGCGTCGGCAGTCACGGCCAACCGTTGAGTGACCGGAGTGTGCGGTTTTTAAGGCTGAACTTTTCTAACCCGTCTTTCCTCCGGGGAAGGCAGCATCGCCGCTTCCACAAATATGGACATGCTGGTCGCCTGGAGGAATTGCCCTACCGCCTTCACACTCCTATCGCAGAGTACCGTGCGACTACCTCTAAACCGCCTCATAATACGATTACTCGCAGTATGGAGACTTGCTGTTCTTCGTCCGTTTGCCTTGCGGACGTAGATGAACCTTCGGGAACTGAGTTCCAGCCAGTATAGCCTGCTTTATCATTGCAACACCGAAGCGCAACCACCGCCGCAAGGTGACAGCTTTGGGTCGGGGCTCAGTATGGCGTTGTGTGCCCCAGAAGGGACGGCACTCCAATTGTGGCGCTCCATCGGTGGCTGGTAGCTCAAAGACAGCGAGCCAACTAACCGGAAGGTTCGAGCCTAATTCGGCATCTTGACTGCTCCTGTCTGAGATAGGAAACTTGGCAGCATATTAGCCCGCGTGCTTACTTCGGGTATCACAGCAGCTGTTTACTGAAGGGCTGTTACAGCTGAAGGGTGTTGATTATTATCGGTGGCTGATCCAATTGTGTCCACAGATCATTGTCCACTTGATGACCGCCAGTTTACTATGTTTATGTTGAAAATTCGTGCTGGCCAGAAACAGTTGATGATTAGCATCTATTCCTGTTGTCTACGCGATGATCATCGACTCCAATCGACTGCGTAGGTGTGACTCCAAGAATCCCAGACGACAGAATTCAACATTCGTATCGCCCCCAGGAATGACCTTCATTTTGACAAATGAAGTCGGATGAATCTCGGTAGAACCTATCCGTCAGATATTCCGTTAGAACCTGTGCCTACAAGTGCGCTTCTTAAATCGGTACACACTTAACTTGATTGAACTCGATCACCTAACACTGCAAAGACGACTGCTCACCGTCCATCCATCAAAGCGCATTCACCTCAGTCTGAGTGCAACAACGAGATCATACATTCCACGGCTTCGCCTCCGGATCACTGTACATACATGGCTGGAAATTACGGAACAGTTGAGGTCACCCTTTAGGTGGCCGTACCCCCTTCCTCCCATGAAATCTATGCACTAGCCGACTACTGTCCTTGGGACGGTCAGCAGTTTCACGTTGCATGCTCTACACGTCGTTGCTTTTGCATTTTCTCACGCCATTCCTTCATGTCGGGCCTCATTGCAGGCGTTTTTGTCTCACCTAATCAGGGGCACTCAGACATTCCCTTCCTGTTTGTCTCGTTCGACTTAATCGACCTCTGTCAATGGCTACTGGCTTTCGTCAAGTGAGCGTAGAGATCCATCATATATCTTTGACAGTCCCACGTTCGGCCGCATCTGTCTGTGCGTATCTCTGTGTATGCTCTTCGCACTAGATGTTTTCAATGGGTTTGTTCTGAACCCGTCTATCCTACTTGAGTTATCCTGATTGGATCACTACAACGGCATACCACATACGAGATTAAGTCTGAGCATGTATGTATTGCGGCGGGACAGTTGCTGTTTCAGCAGTTACCCCTCTCTAGGCTCCCTTGCTTTCATGAAATATTGCGGAAAGAGGGCGAGATGGCTCAATGGTTACAGCGCGAATTTACTAACCGGAAGGTCCGTGGTTCGAACCCGACCTCTGCCTCTCGACTTCTCCTGTGTAGATTTGGGTAACCCGTCAGCAGTCCAGCCCTCGTGCTTCCTTCGGGTGGCACGATTGAATGAGACAATATTTGAACGTGAGTACAGCTAGCGCGTTTGTGGCAGTCTGACATTACTACCCCCGTTTTTTCTCCTCTTCATTATATGAATAAATGGACTTCGTTATACAATCGTTGTGCACCAGTACCCTCAGCTAGTATTGCTGTCATTTGTGGTGAGTTTGACTGAATGGGTGATAGGTGCACAATCCATCACACCACAGTAAGCTTGAGCTTCTTCGTGACTGCTAGGAAGCCGCGGCTAAGTTACTGAGAGTTTCCATCTGTGCTGCACATTCTGACTACGGAACTGTTTTTATTTCAGCTGGAGTCAGAGAAATTCGGTTTTCACTGACGGTATTAGCTCCCACCTTCCTCGTTGGCTTCCCTGTAAGCTAGTCTACTTTGGTCACCACCACATTTCCTACTGCTTCCCTACTGTACTTGCTGTCCTTCGTAAGCGCCCAGACCCTCCGTCCTCACGTGATCTTCCTTACTCAAAATGGAGAAAATACCTTTGGCTACAGCGTCCACCTCCAATTCAATCAATCTCGGCACCATTAGCAGGGATGGGGGCGAAGTCAGTGTGATTCGGCCAAAGAAACAGCGGAGATACCATTTGTTGACTAAGGAAAGACTGAGAGTGCCAAGGAACAGTTTCACCAAAAAGTATGAGTACACAAAACATATGCCTCTGATCAACATCAGTTCGGATGACGAGGATAAGTAAGTCGTGTTGCCGACTGACCAGGATTTTGTTCAGTGTAAATTATACGTTTGCTGCATCTAACTACTTCTGTATTTATCTGATTAGCCATTGATCCTCGCTTAGGACTCCCTGATTACCAAGCCATGAGCTTGGCAGTGTAGCAGTTTTTGAGGTCTCAAAGAACCCAACCCCACGAGGTTGTTTTTCCTTACTGGAATTTATGGGGTCGGTTTGGCTTGATCACTCCACGTCTGAGTGTAAACACTTGCAAGCTATCGACTTTTGGAACGCCCCGAACAGCACCGACCAAACGATCACGTGTTCTATCCGCATGCACCCAATAAGGAGGATGGAATGCTCTATGTGGCTGAGTTTTCCAGGGTCAGATTGTATCTTTATTGTATAACGTCTGTTATCGTCAGTATGTTGCATTCTTATATCAGGGTAATCGTTCAGTTGTAACACGCTTTCAGTGCCTAGCTGCCATGCAACCCGCAGGAAGCACTAGGGCTGGGATACTGCCAGGTTGCCCAAGCCTAGACAGGGGAAGTCGAGAGGCAGAGGTCGGGTTAGAACCACGGACCTTTCGGTCAGTAAATTCGCGCTTTAACCACCTGAGCCATCTCGCCCCGTTAAACTGCAACGAAAGAGGGACCTGAGAGCGATTCTGATCCTGTCTGGCACACAGTCTGCTATTCAGAAGTGTAGCTTTGCACCATTCAGTGCGTAGTCGTAGCATTTCTCCCGTAGTTCCGCGACAGCATACCGATAGCTGGTCAATTTCAGACGTCGAATTCCAGTGTAGACTGCACCTAATCAAGGTCACCAAATAGTTTTCAAAGTTAGCGAGTATACACTCATTTGCAAACTAATTTGGTTTTTCGGGAGACTCACCTGGAACCCAGCTGAATCTCCCATTTGTGATGTTTCCAGGCAACTGAATGTGCTTCACCAAGCCGCTTCATGTTTCAGTCGCTACGATATATATTTGTAATGTACTACTCATAAGATTGCTGAAAATCCGTCGGAAGCCCACGACCGGTTTCACCCTTTTAGGCGGCCTGGTGCAGCACATTCAGATGCCTGGAAACATCACAATTCAATTCACATCACACACATTCATCTGGGTTCCAGATGAGTCTCTCGAAAAACCAAATTATTTTGCAAATGAGTGTATTTCACTGATTTTGTGCAATTTGGTTTCAAGTAGAACACAAGATTGACGGAAACCCGGGACTGCGCCTACCTGATGAGCCCCAAAAAGGGCGAAACCGGTCGTGGGCTGTCGGCGGATTTTCAGCAACCTTATGAGTAGTCTTCAAAGTTATTCACTCACTTGTGGTTAGAATAGTTCGAAGGAACCCGAAATTCTCTACCCAACGTCTGATACCTTTTGGGTTATAATTGCCCAACGATCAAACTACAAACAAATCATTATGACCTGGGCGACAACTATTGCCTGTGATACACGCAACTGAAGCTCAAAAGTATGTTGGCGCTTTTGGTTGACAGCAATTCATCCGCGTCAGTACCGCCTTTTTCTGTGCGTCGTTTTGCTTGCAGACCGCAGCAGATGGACTGGGTGCCGCAAACCTCTGAGCGTGAATAGACACGCAATATTTTTGACCTCAGTCATGTGCTATTGGGGCGTCTCTATCAAACTACGGTCTGCGCTTGTAGTGGTATTCAGCACTGAGGTTGAGAGGGATCTTGAAAATTCTGTTGTTATCAGTTTTATTTGAGGTGTAGGTCATTATCACATCTATTTCTGTCTGTCAAGACAGGTCATGTGGGAACCTAAGAAAGAGCCCATAGGAAATATATCTGTTGGGTCACTTTAACCTTGTCAAATACCTGGGGCGCCGATGACGGTTGCCGAGCTTTTATCTGAACTCTTTGTTTCCTTCGGAATTAAGTTTACCCAAAGCAGGGAGACCATCTTGTGATTGTTTCTCTTTGTTCACGAAAAGTCCAAGGCATAATTTCCGGTTCCCAAAGTAAAGTTTCGTCCCCCTAACCGTTCCCATTCGTCGTCTTTGAATTTGGCGAGATGGCTCAAGTGGTTAGAACGCGAATTTACTAACCGGAAGGTCCGTGGTTCGAACCCGACCTCTGCCTCTCGACTTCTCCTGTCTAGACTTGGGCACCCTACCAGTAGTCCACCGCTCGTGCTTCCTTTTGATGGCATGGCAGCTAGACACTGTAAGGGTGCTACAGTTGGACTTTTTTCTCTGAATTTAGTGTTATCTATAAAATCTCCCCCGTTTCCGTACATTTGTCTTCTATTCTCCACTGTTTATAGTGAGGAACTAGATAGTCACCTTGTGGGTAAAGTTTCCAATCGAAGTCTGAGTGAACTGCTGAGTCGTGACAACAACTCACGAACCTTGTTTTCCGAGGCTGACGAGGACGATATGTGGGATTTAACGCTGTCATTGCCGCACGAATCTCCAACCCGTCGGTGTGGGTGTTTCCGTCTCCCACCTAACTGCACCATCTCTTGATCATCTCTCATCCTGTTCTATAAATGAGTTTGCATTTGTCGGTGCATTTCAGGATTTAATGCCTTTATGCCGATTCTAGGTGATGCCTCCCCTCTTCCACAGGAACTTCCGCCAGATCAAACATCCTGAGTCTTCCCCTATCGAAGCTTGACTTTTTTTTAATTGTCCACTTTTATTTTGCCATATTTTTAGAATGCCTTCTTTGCCATGACTGTTCTCCTGGATTTCCTCAACAATCTGATTTTAATTTTTCTACGCCCTATCTTTTATACCGTGTACAGACAACTTGATCTTCACGAGCTTCATGTGATCTCCCGGTTTCCTCCCATTAGAAACCCTCCATTTAACTTTTTTTCTGCGTAACCAGCGGGTTCCTATTCGAGGGAAATTCGTTCTGTATGTAGGGATACGTTGTAACCGTATGTGTCAGTCTCGCGATACGTACTCCTTCATAGGAGTGCAAAGACAGTGGGAAATCTACTTCGCATATGTCTGCACCATTTAGTCCTTCATACAAGGGCTGCTGTGATGCGCAAATGCGTCCCTCGGAGCGTCGCTCCTCTGATATCGGTCCTGTGCCTTGGTCATGGATGGATTTCCCTAAGGAAGCTCAACATGATCGGTTTTTCATCCAGGAAGCACGAGGGCTGGGATACTGCCAGGTTGCCCAAGCCTAGACAGAAGAGGTCGGGTTCGAACCACGAACCTTGCGGTTAGTAAATTCACACACTAACCACTGAGCCATCCCACCCCCTTTTTCCCCCAGAGGACTTGTTGTTCAAGATTGGTCCGTCAGCGACGATCTTGAGTCTGCCTGAAGTGGAATTTTTGTGTGTACACAGGAAGTGCTGATCCACACTTCTCGTACAATAACCAAGCAGTATACTTTCGATTGCCTACTTAAGGGGCGCTGATAGGCTAGCCGTTTCTCTAGCTTCCATAATCTGGGGAATTACGGTGGCGATCTGGAGACGCTTTCTAATTAATCGTCGTTGTTGGCCTTCCATCTAGACATGTGGTAATCCTGCTCGGCAAGACTTCAAAGAGGCAACCGTCACGCGCGATTTACGGTGACGTCCATCGCATCTGAAGAGAGACCAAGAAGTTTTCAAGGGGATTCTCCTCCATTTTTCCGCATATCTCCCCAAAATCAGGGTCTTCAAATTTGGAACATTGATCTTTTAAGACACGAGACCTCTGGTTTTATATCCGGTTTTCTCAGGAAAATCCGTCATGGTCTGGGTGGATTCGAAATGTTAATTCAATTACCCCCCGGTAAGCAGCAAGTGTCGAGTCCGCGTGACTGTGGTCTCAAACGGCCACCTGGCATTTGGTTGCTTTTTTGATGCGTTTCAGCGTGGAAATCGCAGCGTAAGCGATGAACTAGCGACAACAGCCACTGTCCTGTGCGATGGGTCGATTTTCAGAGTCGTTATCGTGTCGCAATAGTATCTCCCATCTCAGTTTTCAGGTATACAGAGTAGCAGAAGGTTGTGGAGGAATGTCACAGCCCTTTGTTTAGCCCTTGGTACCGAAATCTTTGCAAATAGGCGCAGAGCATCCAAGTATCGTGGAAGGACTACCGATTCCACCTCGACCCTCTCGCATTCTGGAATCTGCTGCTTTGTGCTTGGCTTCATTATTCTTTTGAGTCTCCAATGCCGAGAGAATCGCGCCAGCAACTGTAGAGTATTGCGCAAACTTCTAGACACTATCTCTGTTTCCACCTAGGTCGATTTGTTATTTGATCAAATCCTGCACGCAGCTACAAATCTCTATCTCTGTCGGATTTGATTCTAATATGACGACTCTTTCAACCGCACCCGAGGATGTTGTTTGAATAGTGGGCTACAACTAGTTGTTGTACGGTCAGGTTCTTCGTAACTCTCCGGTCACCTCATTCTATCTCTGTGTGCCTCTGATTTCCAATCCTTTAGATCCGAACAGACAGTTTTGCTGCTCTGCTTGGTGTGCCTCCCACACCAGCAAACTGTAAAGTACTGCCACAAGACTAGATGCAATTAAACCCAAACTCGATGCTCGCCTTCCAGCCTATCAGAGGTCTCACTCGAGTCCATCTCTTCTGGCTGCCATGTTTGCCGAAGCGGATGGCCCTATACAAGAGTGTGCGATTTAGCCACGAAGTGACGGGATCACAAACACAAGGCTGTGAGGCCATGTTGTCATGAGTTATTTGCACCGAGCGCGCGTGCCTTGTACGTAATTTGGACAGCGAGACTCGCCGACTGGATGTTCGGACACCCGAGTGAAATGTTAGGGTCTTGTGGAGGCTTGCGCGGTGCGGCAGCTGCATTATGCACCCTAGGCGATTGGCAGAAATGGGTAGTCTGTCCCAAATGCTACGCTAGATCCTGAAGCTGGAGTGAATTCCAGTAGGAAGCATCGAGACCGAAAAGTGCGTGTGCAGAGGTCGATGCGTCGCAAAGGTCACCACATCATCCGGATAGCAGGTGCATGAGTGGAGCTTACCAAACACGGCTTAGCAGTATGCGACAAGCGGAGTGGGTGTGATGATGGTCAAGGGTGGAACTTCGCCGTTGGCTGGACAACACCGACCAAGCAAGTGACCATATTTGGCTGGTCAACCATCCTATATATTTACGCACTAGTACAGCCGTGTTTTTGGTCTTTTTTCTTCTCCCCACCGCGTAGTTTGTTAGGTCCAGTTCACGCGTAACCAAAAGGCGTTCTCACGTCACGCTAAGTGCTCTGTGTCTGGCTACGCTTATATGCAGTTTTGAAAGGACTGTGTATTCTAGAAATACAATCATTCGCAAATCGATTTGGTTTTCGCGAGAGACTCAACTGAATCTCTCGTGAAAACCAAACTGATTTGCAAATGCGTGTATTTCTAGAATACACAGTCCAATTTGGGTTCAACTAGAATATAAGGTTGACGTAAACTCGGGGACTGCGCCTACCTGATGAGCCCCAAGAAGGGCGAAACCGGTCGTGGGCTGTCGAATCGTTTTCAACAACCTTGTGAAAATAGACTGTGTATTCTGTTTGTACCATCGGTTGTCTGTTTATCCTGTTCCTTTGAGTCAATAGGAATATTTGGTTTTTCCTCACCAACTCTGACGTTCCGAGTGGTTCTCGGATATGTTTACAAAGTACGAGTCACCTAACTCGAAGGCTCTTCTAGGTGAGAGAGTTCTTCCCAAATGTATGCCCTCTGGGCCGACGGCGTAATCCGATCATTTCACTTTAAAGCAAAACACAGAACAGAATTCATCGACCAACTGGCTGCAGTGGATTCTATTTGGTTCGCTTACAAGCAACCCCAAACCTGATTACTGATCGGTCAAACCACCCCGCGTACGGACACAGAAAAAAACCTCAGTTGTTTCCATTTTAATCTCACTGAACTTTGGCCCTGAAGACGGATCATACCTACCATGCCTGACCTGATGTTTTATACACTACTTGCTTCCAGGATAACAGAAACAAAATGCATCCAGATTTACAGCTAAGCAAGACTGTTTTGTAACCTGAGCAGTCATTGCCTTTTACCCCTAACCCGTATTCCAGTTACTGTCAGAGCATAGGATAGCTATGACCAACCAGAGCTTTAGAACACTTATCGCAAGTCAGACAGTTGTAAGCCTCAAGTGGTGTCTCACAGTTCAGTGACCTGATCCAGCTATAGAAAAGCCCTTGTGGTACCTAGCTCACACGTCACGTGTAGGAGCCACGGGTCACTGCAAGGTTGCCCAACCCTAGACAGAAACAATCGAGATGGATGGGTTGGGTTCAAACCACGAACTTTGCTATCAGTAGTTGGCGCCTTAACTAGTAAGCTACTTTAAGATCTCGTCCAAAAGACGGATGAGTAAATTCTCGATCAAATTCGCAGTTGTGTTCACCACAGCAAGTAACAATGTTGAAAATTTGTTCGGTATAACCCTTTTCCTCTGAAAGCGCTGCTCACTTATTCGGGGGGTTGTTTCCAAAGGTTTTCAAGGGGCGAGATGGCCGAAGTGGTTAGAGCGTGAATTTACTGACCGGAAGGTCTGTGGTTCGAATCCGACCTCTGCCTCTCGACTCACCCAGTCTAGGCTTGGGCAACCTGGCAGTATCCCAGCCCTCGTCCAACCTTCGGGTGGCATGGCAGCGAGGCTACAGCTGAACGATTCAGCTACCGATGGCGCGGACCAATAACTTGCTGTCGGTCGTATTGGATTCTGACCCTTCGCATTCCAGGACCACGTAAGGTGCTGAAAAGTCGTCTTGCAATCGAAAGACTAGCAG